AGGATAATTCTAGAAAGTAGAGAGCGTGAGAATCACATGATCTCGATGACGCAACAATATACAGTTGAATAACAAAAAAATCACAAATTATTTTGTCAATACCATAGAATTCTACTATAATTTATCAAGTTTAGTGACTAAGCTGAATTTTGGTCTAAAAAATATGAAATTCGAGAAGACTAAAGACACAACCTACTTCCTTGAAATCTTGTTTCAAAAGAACGAGATGGTATCCTAACACATGAAAATGGCTGAGAAAGCCACTAGGGGGACATTCTGAGCTTAATTATTCACATGTCATATACACAAGTAAGTGTATATAAGGGACCGTTTCCAAAACAGGAAAGAGGTGAGTGGGATGGAGTCACTGTGTTTGATTCATTACATGAGCATTATTTCAGCTAATAGAAAAGATAGGAGGTTCTTATTTTATATTCTAGCTTGTTAATATCAGTAATTTGAGTTCCTAATTCATATGAATCTATAGACTTTGTATTTTGACATCACAAACATCTAATTTGAACCAGTGCTGCATTTAACATACCATGTGACACACAAAAATCAATGTTTATCTGTGTTTTTTTAATATTTACTTTTAAATTAAGAAATTGAATAATGTATAATACTAAAATTTGAATTATAATGTACAGTTTGATACCAAACTTACTGACATAAATTCCTAAAATAGTAGTTCAATAAAATTGTGAATGCAAGTCAACAAACACGATGACATGGCCTGTGACCTGTAGCGATAGGGTTAAAGAAATTAAATGAGTTGTTTTAAACATAAAACTAATATTTCAAATGTATTGCCTTAATGCTAAAAGTTATAAAGCAAATATTTATTAATTCAGTATTATTTTTTATTAAAGCTAATTGCATGATAAAATGATGCAAAAACATTGAATTAAAATTTGAGGGCTGTATGCCATATTGTAAAATTAGTTTTTTCAAGAGGTGTAAAAATTTATTAGACAAGGCAGAGTTTGAACCACTTACTCTGCTACCTGGACAAATTCTTTTGCCAGTTATTTTACCATGTAAAGTAAAAAATTAAACCCACCCTTTATTTTACAGCAAATAACCAATTCTTGTTTTGTCTTAAATTCTAATTGTAAAGTGTTGGCCTCTGACACTAGGAATGCCAATTGTTCTAAAAGCCAATCACCATGTTAAAAACAGTCTTTACTGGAGCCTATCCTATCTTTTATAAATCTTAAACTTGTGAAACCTAACTAATGATTTGTATAGAGATAATTATTTTTTTTGTCATGTAATCATTATATCTATAAATAATTTCACCCAAAAAATTCCATTGGATTTAGAGCTGGGTGTTAGGCTCATTAATTGATTTTATTCAACCACTCAGTTATTCTTAAGTGAGATTAATTTTCCTATTTTTCAGCTAGTTTTGGTTTCTTTTAGTTATTTTTAAACTACCCTTTTTTTTAACCCTATGCATATGCAAGTATCAAAGTGCCCATGTCACAACTTTTTACAGAGTTTTAGTTAAACATTATTGTCAAGATATGCTAATAAATGCGACATTAAAATGTTGTTTATAATACAAAGTTTTATATCATCAAAGTTTCAATTTCTTAATTTTAAAAGTAAGTATTTGAATAAATTCTCAATCTTCACTCACTGTGTCACGTAATATCTTTCTGCTTTGAAATCTCCTTCTTCGATTTCCTTTCCTCCCTTATATTGGTTTCAGAGTGTTCACCAGTTGTATACACTAGCTATAGATATTGACAAGCAACTATAGAAAATAACCTACCACTTTATTTATTTCTGAGATTTCATTATATGTGTCACACTCACCACAGAAACTCCTCCCAGCTCTTCATGCTTTTGAAATCAGTTATATAATCATGCATACTTGTCAATGATACATGTTTATAACCAGTAAAAAGGCCATTTTATGAAAGTATGCGATTCTGATAACTATTTATTTAATGTGGTAAAAGCTGTTATTTCACAAGCAGATTTTGATGTGTGTAGACTGAAGTCTGTGCTTAGATAAGTAATTACTTTTTTTCTACCTTAATATAGGTTAGTTAGAAAGCCAGATATAGTTTTGGGACAGTTTATTTGAGTGTATGATTTAAATATTGCATTCTAAAATGCATATTTCAATTATTTTTTGGACAACCAACACTCAGAGCCAGTCCTTATCATTTAAATATTTATCGATCATTCCCTTAAACTTCCTTAAGTTAACTGCATTTACCACTTCAGAAGGCAATCCACTCCAAAGGTCATCCATCCTACTAGAAAAATCTGCAACATAAAAGTAATGAAGAGGGAATGAGTTTGGCTTACTGAAAATACATATTTTTATCTCATCATTAACTGGATCAAGTCATGATCTTTGGCCATTACCATTGGCTCTATCATCTGGAAAGGTAAAACACTGATCAACTTCACTAACACTAAGACAACTCACTAAATTGTTTTAGTCTCAATTAAAGTTTACTGTTATTTTATGACTTTTGTGAATGAAAACCACTGCAACATAGTAATCACACACATTGTGATCAGCTTTTACAACTGAAATGTATGTGGGGGGGTGGGGGGGTTGACTCTATTACGAATGTTGTATGTGTATTATATCCCACAGAAAAAAATGGGGGCAACTGCACTCAGTATCACATGTTTTCTGCACAGCATTAACCTTCTCTGTATAACTAAATGTTCTGAGAAGTAGGTATGTAAGAAGATCTATAATTTTATAATTAATTAAAAAATCATAAAAGTTGCTTATTAATTTTTGAAGTAAATGTATTAATAATTATTTTACTTTATACTTTTTACAATATGAGAACATAATCGTATATATGAAATATTGCTGAAAATTACTTTTGAGAAAAAATTACATGTTGATATTACAAGTAATGAACAAGAAACAAGTAATTATATGACATCATGTGCATTTATGTATGAGTTTAAAGATAAACTTGGCATGTGGAGAATTATATTCGTATAAATGTGGCAGTGAAAGATTTAATAATGGGTATTATATATACCAGAATAGATTAAAGCAGATTTATCCTGTAGTCAGTAATTCAAAAAATAAGTAGAAAAACATTATAAAACTAAAGTGTAAGTGAAGTAAAGGATCAGTATCTATTGGCTGTTTTAGGACTCACTCCAGGAGCTTAAAAATCAGTTACATCAACACCCATCCATTCTTCCAGGGGATTTTGATATCTCCACATCTACTGGAGAATTGATCTTGAATGTATCTCCTGATCCTTCACCCTTACACAATTCAGACTCTTATGATTTGAATTCTGATCTAGAACAGAACTATGAATTTGATCAGGTTCCTATAGAAAAGGTGCTAGCAACAGGAAATGGAGATTACCAAGACACAACACCTGAGGTTAGTATTTTTTTTATGCTGTTATAATTTTCTCTGATATAAATTAGGAAAAAATTAACAAGATACCAGCATACACATATATTTGTTTTCTGTAAGCAAAATAATTTATTAATAAAGTTTTAGTTGTAAATTGGGCAAATTTATGTTGGTACTTAACCATACAGTCATGTACAAAATTTTTTGCACCCTACACTCAATAATTCAAGAAAGTGTTTGAAGTAAAAGCACTTAGTGAACATTAGCCTGTAATTAATGAGACTAAGACCAAATTACACCACTTGTGATAGTTTAACAAACAATATTTGTGAAAACTTAAGTGATTTCTAATATTTGTTCATGACAAAAGTATTAGCACCTTTCAATAGAATTTCTTAAAACCTCAATAGAACCAATTAAAAAATATATTAATTAATTGAAAAACCATTGCACAGTAATTAAGTTGCATTATAAGGTCAATAACCAGGAAAAAAAAAAGGTGATGATTGCAAACATTTGTAGAAAGAGAATTTTGGATTGATGCTTGAGAAAAGCACCTGTAATAGACTACAATAAATAAAATGACTTCTGAACAGTATCAAAGAAATGTACCAAAATCCACAATCAGAGCAATGATTAAGAAGTTACAGTACAAATTAAACTGAAATGCTTGAAGAGAGAGGACATCTAAAGAAAATTACATTTAGAGCAGGTAGGAGAACCATCCAAGCAGCTAAAAAATATCCAAGATATCAAGGACTTAAAGAAAAATCTAGAATCGTCAGGTATATTAGTGCATGAAAGAACTCCACAAAAGCACCTGAACATAGAACAATTGTATGCACCTAGAAATCACTGCAAGCTACCTTTAAAGAAAATTCATAAAACAAACTGTGTAAAATTTAACAAAATTCTCCAATTTGATAACACAAAAATAGAGCTTTTCCCCCAAAGTGAACCAAAATATATTTGAGAAAAAAGGGAGAACCTTCACTGAAGAACAGTTTGTAGCTACAGTTAAAAATAGAGGTTGCTTGATATGGGGATGTTTTAGCAATGCTGGAGTTGAAGGCATTCATGTAATCAAAGAGTGAATGAACACAGCCTTGTATCAAAACATTATACAAAGTACAGTGGTACCATCTGCTTCAACACAACAATGACCCAAAGTGTACAGATAATTCAACTCTGGAATTCTTGAAGAAATGGGGAAAAAAAAAATTCTCGAATGGCCTTCACAATCTCAATCCAATAGAAATTCTTTGGAATGACCTAAAAAAATCTGTATGTGGCTAAGCATTCGATAAAAAGAAATATATAGTTAACCACATAGGTGACAGATATTGCAATTAAAGAATTGGTTAAACAATCATCAGGTTATGTTATATTTTTATTTTAAGAGGATGTATTTTACAAGCATTTTATGTCCAATCTGGCTGAGCTAATGGAACTTTGCAAAATAAAATGGAATCAGATTTCTCTAACAAGATGTAATGCACTGGTTAATGTGATAAAGGCAAAAGAAAGACACGTGAAATACTAAAGCAAGGATTTTGATAGTTCTGTCTTGAACAAATACCTTAAACGAAACAAGATTGATAAAGCATAGTTATTAAATTTCTAATAAATATGTATTTTGCATTTTTGTTGTATTAAAAGTGATTAAAGTTTACTGACTGCTTATCTTTAAACTGTTACCCTTACTTATGGTACAATAAACATAGGGTGCCAATACTTTTGTCTGCAGCTGTATATGCATTATTTTTGACATAGTTATGAAGTATTTTCTACTTCTAGAATTCACAAATAAATATGTTAATTTATACTTAATGTCAGAAACCTTTAATTAATGGATATTAGCATATTTCTAAATTATTTATAACAGATTGTTAGAAAATTGACCACCAGTTGAGATTGAAGAATAACCTTTGTATTTTAACTTTATTTCTTTTGATAGAAAAACCAAGATTGCTGGTTTATTTCAGTTTACGCCATAAAAGAAAGGCTCATTAAGACATAGATTGTTCTTTGATTTTTGCAGAATTAATTTATATATATAAAGCACAAACAGATCTGTTTGTCTGTCTGTTATCTAACTACTACTAGGTCACTGGTCTAATCTCAACCAAACTTTGTCAGGTTACAGTTTGGAACAAGGAGCATGTTAATGGGGGATTTACAATCCCTTCACTCTCTCCCCCATTATTGCTGTTATTGAGCATTTATTATATTTCACATAAGATAACATTAACAACATTCATAGAAGGCACAACAAAAAAATAAATTTTGTAAAACACAACATACACACAGTGTTTGGGGAGGGCACAAAAACATCTTGCATACCTTAGAGAGTGCACTAACACTCTATTGAGGAATGCAATGGAAAAAAAAATGACTGTCACTGTAGCAATAACACATAAACTCAGCTGAAGATTTTACTCCATCAGCCACCATATGGCTGATATGGTTATTTTTTGAGTTATACCAACTTCCTACTTTAACCTGTAACCTTTCAACTTTGCTCTGTAAGACACTTCTGCAGCCAATGACCGTCTGTTAGTTAATCATGTGAAACACCGTTGAAGGTCATTAAGAGCTGGGTGTTGAAAGTGGGTAACAGAAAGCAACCGTACTGCCACAACTTTGGCCACTACCTCTTCCTACAAAGCCACCCTGACCAGTGTATACCATGTTTTAAGTGTATGCATATTGAGTTCTTAAAGCATATACATAACTTTTGGTGAGGTAATAATGAGTACAGTAATTATATGTTATAAATAAATTGTGTGAAAGCTAGGATTTTTGTGGTATTTATTATAGTATCCACACACACATTTTTGTAAGTTCATAACCAGGACAAAGGACGGGTACCTCAGCTTGTGTTATATAAATAATATCTTCATGTAATGTAGAAAAATAATAAATTTTGACTTATGTTTAAATTTTTAACCAAAACTTTTTTAATACAGCTGGATCAACCACAACTGGTTCCTCCTGATTACACACTGTCTTCCATTGCTACAGACAGCTATGCAGAAGAGTTTCAAAAAACTATTTCTCAAGGTGCTCAAGGTAGAGAGGTTCTCACTATTCAGCTATATAAACCTGAAGGCAGTAGCTTGGGTTTCAGTGTTGTGGGATTGCGTAGTGAACAAAGAAAAGAATTGGGTATTTTTATCCAAGAGATCCAGAACACAGGAATTGCTGGAAGGTAAGAAAATGATTACTGGTTTCTGTTTTATCAATGGTTACGTTGCACATTCCAAAATAAGATTCATTACTCTGTTTGATTAGGAAATAAATTGTAATACTATTACATATGTATGAACCTTAACTTTTGAAGGCATTACCAAATGGTTTCTAGTTATTTTTTTCCCACTAGCAAATTTCGGACTGCTATGAGTAACAACATTATTTTTCTTTGAAATTAACCCTCTTGATATGGGAAGATAAAACTTTTTACAGAGATACATTCAAAATTTAATTAAACTAATTTATTATTAATGTATAAAAATAAACATAGCATCAAAATGTAGTGAATAAATCAAATTTTAATATTATATATGTTTTAATTTCAAAAGGAACTATTTGAATAAATTCTCAATCTACTCTTGTCTGTGTACCATGGCATTTGTTCACTCCAACTTACCCATTTTATATCTTTTCATCACCCCTTTTATAATGTCTTGAGTTTAATATAAATTACTCATTATAGTATTGATATTACTAAGACATAGTGTAATTTTTATAGCCTTCAGACATCTTTGTTTATGGAGATATAAACCAGAAAGTCTAACCCACTTGCCATGCCTTCTTATCACATCCTCTCTTTCACAAATTGCCAGTAATTCACTTGATGTTTGCTATTACATCATTGCTAACTGATAGGAAGACAAAGTTTTAAAACACCGAATAATGTATATTGCTACGTTATTTTCAGTAAAGATTTTTAGTTATTTTGCTTACAGATAGAAAGTTGATATTGCCAAGTTCAGATCGAACAGACGAGGAAATTATTTTTCAGGCCAGTTAAATTGTAATAGTTATTGGGCATTTTTTTCTTTGTGTATGTTATTATTTTATGTCTGTAGTGCATATCTGAAAGTCATAAAAATTATTTGATGTACTAATACCATCATTAGAAAAAAGTAGGCTTAAGTTTCATCTGAGTGCCAATAAAAAAAAAAAAGGAAAATGAGGCAAAACGCAAGTACTGAATATCTTGTTTCTTATTTATTTTTTACATTCATTTTTACAAAAATAACTAGAATGTAAAAATTGGACACTTATTAGGTTAGAGAATAGAAACAAATTTCTCCATGAGGTATGCTCGCAAATAGCTAATGTGTTACTTCATTCAATACTGTAACTTGACCTAGACCTTTGCTGTGTGGCTTATTTATCACTGGATTATTAGTTAGATATAGTTCAAAGAGCAACAAAACAAAGGATAAAATAAATACCTCTTATACAATATTTTTAAATTGTTAAAATATTGTTAAAGTCAAATTGTGTTGAATGTATGGATGTATACATTGGTGGTTACAAATAATCAGCCCCTGTGATTCACCATCACTTCTGAACTATATATGAGTGAGCAAGGTGACAGCAGATCATTTAACCTATCATTGTCACCCTGTTATCCAAGTGAACACCAACTTTCTCACTTGAATGCTACTTTTGGATCCATATACATATCCAACAAAAACTTAAAATAATTCATTTGTTCATTTCTTATAACATCAACAATGAAACTGTTCAGTAAGCTTTATTACCATGCATTGATGAAGGCAAGCTCAAGACTTGAGTAGGTAAGTTTCAAACACACATGATATGGAACAAAGATTTTGAACTTGTTTTGCATTTAGTGCATATAAAACCAATATGATTATACTAGGAAAAATATTATATTTGGTAATATCTGTTTTTATGCCAACAGAAATTACTGTTATTTTTTCAGCTTTTATGTTGAATAATTTTTCCACTTTCACATTACCACATAGATATATTTTGATTTTATCTTCTTGTTTTTTTCTGTGTGTGAATATATATTCAAAAATTTACTAACATTTTTTTTTCTTTGTCAGCTACTGACTGTGGGTTTTCTCATTGTAGCATAATGTTTTTTTGTAATAATGGCTAATATAATCCATTTTAGTCAGTGTGCAGCACATAGCAGTTGAAATTTTCAAAAGATTGTATTAAAATGTAATATTTAATCATTTGGAATTTCTTTTTCCTTGAGATACAAAATCATGAAAAATTGTTTATTATTTAAAGAAAAAAAATAATATTTATTTTACTGAAATACAGATATGTTATTTAAAACTTGTTTTTTAAAGAATTTACATGTTATTAGTAATTAGTACATGTTTTCATATTATGTTGAGAAATAAAAACTTTCCCAAAAGTTTTATGATACACTCTTGATTTGCAGTTTCTTGCTTATTTATAATTCATATTTTTCTACTGTAATGCTGATAAATAGGATAGAAAGGTATGTTTTAATATTTTTTTTATTTATACAGAATTTATAATTTAAAAAACATTATCTCAGATCATTAATTTAGCAATGTATTTAAAAATTAAGGCATTTATATATTAAAATAGTTTTTAAAATTATTTTCTTTGTGAAAAGTAAAAATAAACAACTATAATTACACTTTTCTGATTTCTAAAATTATTTATTTAATAAATTTGTCATATAGTATGTGTAGAATATAGTTCAGTCCTTTTGAGAATAGTTAATTGTTGAGAAAAGAGTAACTTTAATGTAGTAATGAACTTCTCAGAACTTTTTTAATGAGGAATTTTCATTCATGTTGCTTTTTCCATTCATTTGGGTCATTGACCATGTTTTTCCAATTTAAAGCAAAATTGAGGAATATTGGAATAAAGTAAATACAGGCAAAATTACAGTAATTGGGTATTGTAAAATTATGATGAAAGTTTTATGAATATTTTATTATCAGTATCATTCTTATTTAGGTACAGTTTAGCATAATGTGAGTTAAGTTAAAACTTTACCAAGTTTTTTTTACAGAGATATTTACGTTTTGTGATTATTTCTAAATTTTTTTATTCCTCTCATTTTATTTACTCATTGTCTTGTTTGTTAGAATATGTGGAAGAGAAATGAAACTGGTTGTAACCATTAAGACATTTGTTACATCTATGTCTTGAGTAATCTGTATCAGTAAATTATATTTAAAATATTTTCTGATACTTCTAAAATTCTACAACTTGAACAGCAATTTGTATATTGAACTGACTTGATTAAATAATGGCTTTAACTTAGGAATGAGAGTGCTTTCTTTTATATAGAGACCTTTTGCATCATTGACCTTAGTTAAGATCTTAAAATTATTTAAATTGATGACCATGTTAAACTTACCTAGCATTTGTTCCTATATACTTGATCTGTTTGGTGTATTTTAATTTGAATGTTCTCTCACTCATGTCTGCAGTCATCTTACAATTGATCCATTATAAATTTGTAACAAGGTGAAATGAATTGATAAACCACATTTGATCTTTTTTGATGGGAGGATTTAATCTTCTCATCCAGAGACTTACTGCAGATGTTATCCTGGTTTAAAAATACACCTTGATTGTATACACAAATACACACTGTGAAGTAAGGAACATAGATGTTTAACCATGTATGGTAAAATCATAAAATTTAATATTTTTTACATAATACCGTGATTGTTTATTAAGTTTTGTTTTTTCAGATAATTATAGGATTTTATTTATCAAATATATATATATATAAAAGGATCAAACTTTTTTTTTACAAAAATTCATAAGTACATGAGAATTTATAAGCACGGGGAATTTGGATATTAACCCTCTCCAGATGGGTCTCAGGTGAAAGGCCATGACATCTTGTTTGTTGGCTTGCATTCAAAATGTTATTGAACTACTATTTCATGAATTTATGTCAATAACTTTGGTATCAAACTGTAGGTTATAATTCAAATTTTAGTATTATACATTATTCAATTTCTTAATTTAAAAGTAAATATCAAAAAAACAGTTAAAAAAGCTCACCTCTTTCCTGTTTTGGAAATGCTCCCTTATATACACTTACTTTTATATATATGACATGAATAACCAGTCGGAAGCTCAGAATGTCCTAGTGGTTTTATCACCTTTTCTAATGTTCCTTCCACCATTTCTTTCTTTGGAATCATAATTTCACTGAGGTAGATTGTGTCTTTAGTCTGGTTGAAATTTCATATTTTTTCTAGACCCAAATACAGCATAGTTACTAAGCTTGGTAAATTATATTAGAATTCTATGGTATTGATGTAGTAATTTATGATTTTTTAGATATACAAATGTATATATAAAACTGAAAAAAAAATTTTTGTTTCATATCCTCTACATGCAAAATTTTTAAAGGCTTAGCAACCTACGTCAAGCAGCAATAGAGTACAAAGGCTGTAACTTGAATAGATAATTGTTTGCTTTAATTCTTTATTTACTGTTCTATATTTTAGGAAAAATAACTTTAAGAACTTATTTCAAAATAGCAATAATTGAAATGTGACTGTATTTCACAAAATACTAGTTGACTAAAACACAGCCAAGACAAGTTACTCTGTACATACTAAAGGTCACCTTTATGTTATTTGATAGGATAACTTGAGTGCATGTGAGCTGCATTGTTGTAACTTCTGTATTGTTAGCCAGGCACAGGTGAAAGGTCAATATAATAAATATATTTAAATGTATAATGTTATGAGATTTTAAGCTATTTTGTCTAAACATTTATGTTTTCGTGTTATAATTTGTGTTTATTCTAGAATGAAAGAGACTTAATTTATGTTTATTTCCTAATATTTTATGGTGATTGTGAGATTGTTCAAATTTACCGAACCTGTACAGAGATTAATTACTG